AAGTTTTGAAGATAAATGCGAACTTTTAATTTAAAAAAAGATACCAAATGACAGTTGAAATACCATTTAATTTTCAGCCTTAATCAAAAGTACTGTAAATCGAATTAAGTTCCTGAAAAGTTTCACACTGAAGAAAGAAATTTCTTAGTGTGTCAATGTAATGCACTCTGTGTCTCGGAAAGAAGGTGGTATTAATATTAAGTTTCTTTCTAAATCCCCACTACGTAAATGTTCGTACGGAAATCTGTTTCCAATCAGTTCGTTACCTGTGCATAGTTCTGACATCATTAGATTGGCACCGCAATTCAGATTTTGCTGAAAATTAATATTTGTTTCAAAGAGTTTCTAGTCCCCTTCATCTATCCCAGTTTCATCAGCACGTTTGCTGTCAACCATTTTTCCCGCTTTTTGGATTTTAAAATCATCCTTTGATAAAAATTTTATTATTATTTTTTTATTTTACTTGAGTCTCAAACAGAGAAATGATATTCATAGCCCAAAGTACGTTTATCTTTCTCTGGCAATGGTCTGAAAGGTTATAGGAAAAAATGCGTATTAATCCCTTTCTGTAGAACATTTAAAAAAAGTTCTTGATTATGCCCGGTACGACTGCAATGTATTTGCACAATGTAGTGGGAGGATAATAAAGTAAACTTGATTGCAGATCGTCGTTACACTGATCCAAGAAAAGAATGGATAAGTGTTCCGTTGATCCATGAATCAATAAAAATATTAGCACAGTATTTTGCAGTTTTGCAGTTTCTCATAATTTTTGCAGTTTCTCATAATTTCCAAAATTTCCTTCTATTGCATAAAAGTGTCTGCAGTCAGCGCCAATTTTTTATTTGTTTCATATGACGTTGGCAGAATTTTAATATATTTGTAAACGCTTCAGTTTTTGTGTTTATCTTACATCTAGAGGCATAATGTTTCCCGTTTCATCAGTATTTGCAATCGGTGAAAGTATAAAACTGCTTTTCTCTTTCCTCTATATATTACAATGATTACCTTTAAAATTAAGGTTTTTCGAAGGCATGAGATGAAAGGAGAAATCACTGCCATCAAAGCGAAAATTCTTTTTAGCTAATATTTATCGATTTCTTTAAATAAATTCTTGAAATAATCTTTAAGAATTCATCTAAAAAATATCTTTCAATTTTCGACTGATGACACGCCGTGGCGCAAGCGCATGGCGCAGTTTAAATTAAAGTAGACATGTAGTTTAACTCTTTCATAACCAAGTCCCCGTTACGTCCATGCATACGCATATTTGGGAAAGTTTTGTACTAGTTATGAAAAAATAATATTAAAAGAAGAATGACTGCCGCATTACAAAAAAATGACCAGGATATTTAATTTAAAATAGTTGCAACTTTTTATGTCATTTTCAACTTGCTTTAAAAGGTCGTTTAAATTAGAATAATTTGAGGAAATAAGTTTCAATGAAGGGCAGCAAAAAATCTCTATAATTTAACATGCCGTAGAAGGAAGTCACGTGGCGTCCACATCGGATTTTTGACAAATGTGAAAGTCACAAATAATTTTTTTAAATAATAAATTCGTTAGACTTGATTTAACTATAAAATTATAAAGGAATAAATATTGAGATGCATTGCATTCGTACGTTTTTCTGTAAAGTGAAAACTTCATCGAAAAAAGAAAATTTAGAAGTTGGAGGTAAGGACTTAAAAGAGCGAAAATCAAAACAGTAAAATGGGGACGTAACACTCAAATTACATCATTCGAAGGGCAAATAGCACCGTGTTAAGCATCTGCAATGACTAACGCTCTAAAATCTATTTAACAATATTTTTATGAAATTTGAGGGCTACCAATTCTTAAAAGAATTTTATGTGTATATTCGATGACTCTTTGATAATAGTCATAAATAAACATCAATATCAAAACAAACATATCTCATATCAAAACAAACATATCTCATATCAAAATCTCAAAAAAATTTAGTAACCTTGTAGAGACATTAGGTTATTTTGAAGCAGGAGACGTGAAAAATGCGCAATGCACTCGCCGGGACTCGAAACTCTAGACCTCTCGTATACGCGCCGTGTGTGCTGCCGTTACACCACGAAGGGATGCTGGAATTTATATACTCCCCCTTTTAAAGGACGACTGGCGATTAGGCCAAATCCTGGTGATGACGAAATACCATCCACCACCTTTCAGTTCGGTCTCCAGTGGTAAAGCCATTAAGGTTTGTTTAAGCAGGAGACGAGAAAAATATGCACTTCCCTCGCCGGGACTCAAACCCTAGACCTCTAAAATACACGTCGGAGATGCTTCCAGTTATATTACGAGGGCATGCGGACAGCAGGGAGAATATACCTTATACACTCCCCTTTTAAAGGTAACTGGGGACAAGGGGACCCAATCGCCAAATCCTCGTGGTGACGAATTATGGCCCGCAACTTTTATTTCGGGCGCCACCTGGTCATTAGGTTTATGATACTGGAGTCGTGAAAAATGTTCAATCCTTCGTCGGGACTCGAACCCTAGGGTTTCTCGAATACGCGCTGAGTGCGCTACCGTTACACCACGAAGCATGCTAGAAAGAGGGAGAAAATAACCTTATAACCTCACTAACAAAAGTCAAAGAAAGGGTCGCAAATGCAACACTTTGGATTCACGTTTAAAGACCCTACAGTGACACCTCATCTCACCGTATGTGTAATGACCTTTCTCCCCAAAACGTATCTGGGATAACCGCATGTAAGCTGATACAAGAGTTACAGATGAAGTCTGGGCTTCATGAGTCACTGAATATTCCTTCAACGACTTAGCTGTGTTTTAGGAACTAAAGATTAATCTCTGTTATTATAGGTGTACAGATACCTTGTATTTCCATTGTAAAGAAATAAAAGCATCCTTCTCAGGTGTCATTCTGGTTTCGTGGTTAGCACATCCAGCTAGCTATAGGAAAATTATGAGTTCCAATCCCAGCGAAGGTTAGCTTTTCAAGATTAAAACCGAATGATTCCATACCGTTACCTCAACTAGTTAATGATTTTAAGCTTTCTAAGCCACTTCCAATATCTCTTTTTGCTACAAATTTCTGAATAATGCTTATTAATTCTTCCTTGTTAATATTCATTCATTTTTTACTGGGACAGATATTATTAATAATTTTTATTATTATTTCAAAGTGAAATTCGTAATATTATACACAGACAGCCTGTTCTGCCATTAGAGATTAAGAACTTGCAGGGTTTATATTTATTTTAACTAACATTTATTTTAAGTTTAAGCTATCTTTCCTGTCAAGCCTTTACTTTCCCCTAGAATTGCCAATGCCAGCGTATGTAAATCATAGTAGAACGCGCAGAGTATTCATATTTTAGCAGAAGTAAATTGAGTTTAAAAAAAGGGAAACGAGCTTGTAAGTGTGCTTCTTGAATCGCGAGCGTGAAGGTTGCTAGGTAGAAATTTAAGAACCGCGCGTTTCGGCCTGTGTGCCTATTTCGGCAGTTCGTTGAATCTTTCAACTTCTTAATCAGTAAGTTTGCTGAATCTCAGCTGTATCTTAGAACGCGGTTAAGTTAGTTACGATTATAGAGCCTCGTAGGTAGTGATCTCGTTATTTATTCATCCTGTCATTTATTTTTAGTTGTACTTTTCTATTTTGTTAAACCGCCGAGTCGGCGTAGTTTGTGAGCGTCAAGTAGACGCAACTGTAATTTCTAAAGTGGAATAAAAAGGTATTTAAACCCTTCTTACGAGTTTGTGTAATTTACAGTTCAAAGCAGTCACTATCACTGTTGCTGACAAGTTGGGGCCATCGCAACATTATAAACTATTCGATTGACAGGAAATAAACAAACCTCAAGGATAAAAGTTCTCCCAAAAATTCAATAAATCAGAGACCTTTATTGGAAATAAAAAGGAATTATTTTAGGTAAGATAAGTACTCATTGCTCGAATATTTATCGCATACATAGAAAATATGCTTTGCATTCTATCAGACATCGAAAACTGAATGCACTTCATTCGAATATTGCTGAGATTTTTTGCTGAAATCTAATCAGTCAGATGAAAAGAACCTAATGAATACTGGAAATTTTGAAAGCGATTTAATCCTTCGGCGAAATCAATGCCAAACATCATCAAAAGTAACGAATGATAAAAATTCTGTTATAACTAAATTTGTTATGTGGATGAATGCATTTCATTTTAAAAGAATGTTGTAAGAAGCCGAATTAAATTAGCTCAGCAACTCTTTCCTAAGTGCGTACTGTAATCATGCATAGTTTTCTTTCCTAAAATATTCAACTGAAAAGTATTTCGCCTTCACATTAATAAGCTTATAGCTGCTATTGAATTTTAAGAAATTTAATTTTCATTTTAAATTTAAATAGCTTATATTGAGAGAAAGAAATTCTTCTGGATAATGTTTTTCTTTTTTAGCTTCAAGCATTTTAGTGACACCAGCAACAAAAATTGCATATCACTAGTTTCCTCAATACTGGTATGAAATATCAGTATAGAGTGAAACGTTTAAATTAAGCCTTAAAAGCTAAAATCTTAGAAAAATAAAAAAACATGAATACAAAACATCATAAACAGAAAACATTTCACTGTAATGAAACCAATACATCGGGAAATAACTTTCCCCCCATCCACTCAAGTCTGCGATCTTGATGTGATGGCATAATGATATTTAAATTTTTAAGTGGCATTAAAAGTTTAATTTAGACTTCCTCCATTCTTTTGTTTTCTGTCCAATACTGTCTGCCTCCGAAGTGCTCAGATTTGTTTAGGACAATGAGTGCATCACTATATAGAAGTTTACAGTTAGCATTTAGCGGCTTTCAGTGAAGCTGTGAAGGATGGACTTTACAGCAAATCGTGTCCATACAAAAGAAGTTACAATACACACTGACACACACAAAAAACAATCATTATGTCATAAACTATTTTATTTCCTGTTATAAAAATCTTTAATATATAAGTTAATGGAGTTCAGCTGAGAAATATAATTCATTTACCTTATTTGAGAGCTCAATGCGTCCTCTGTCACTGAAACAACTGCTATCATCCCGAAGTCGCTTCCATACTAAGTTGCAGTACAATACTACTCCTGATGCAATAGCCTAAAATATAAAATAATTAAGATAAATACATAAAAAAGCAAAGTTACCTAAGTTTATACTGTCACTGATGTATATGGGTGTGACTTTCATTTCCAGTAGTACAGAACTTCCAAGGCGAAAGAAAACGAAAAACTAATATGTAGTTAATTGTTTTCTTACAGTACTTCTAATTTGTTTTTTTATAAGAGCAATGTACTTACGATTTGGAATAATTTTCTCCCTGTTTACGTTACACATATATCGGTTTCTTAGGCAGAAGTGAATAAAGTGGTTTTTCAGAGACGTAGTATTTATCTAAAGAAACTTTTTTTTCTAAAAGACGTAATTTATGATCATAGAAATGTGACAACCAAAGAAAGCTTTCTTTTTTACATCCGAGCGGAAACGATAAGCTGAAATTTTCACACAAGAAGAGTAACGATATACAATTCACTCAAAAAAGGTAGCTACAAGTTTTAATTACTTAATAGATACTAGACATGTGCTTCGATTGTAGAGACATTAGGTATTTTTTGGCAGCAAGCGAGATGAAAAATATGCAACGCCTTCGCCGGGAATCGAACCGCGAACCTCTCAATTACGCGCTGAGTGTGCAGACCACTACACCACGAAGGCTTTCTAAGAAGGCGGGAGAAATACCTTATACGATTACGAAATTTGTCAAATCGAGGCAAAAAGTTTTAAAAATAATTTTAATATTTGGGAGGCGTTTTAAATAAATACAAAATCTAGCAATTTACATGTTCACCGACGATTAAAATTCCAACTTGTAGAAGAGCATTTAACAAAATATATGAGCAAGAAACAACTCAGCGTAAAATTAAAAAAATCAAACTTTAATGGGTGCTTTCTTTATTCAAAGCGCTATCGATTTCAAGGTAGCCAGGTAACGAAGCCCATTTCCTTGAAGGAGCAATATTTTTAGTTCTTCGTTGTTGCAGCTTTGATTGCTCATTGAAAAAGAGGGACACCTTTGCCTAATTTTCTTGAAATCTATATTGTTTTCTACAAAACAAACGGCAACTTAAGAATCATTTTTGCTTAATTTTATAATTTTTAATATGTTAAATATAAAAATTCTGAGATAAAACTTAAACATTTCGCGAAAATATTCAATAATTAATTAGACCGCATTTCAGTGTAAGGATTATACAAAGTTTCTGTCATGTGTAATACAAATATGAAGCAGTCTGACGTTTAAAAATGTTCTCTTTTCCTTTACGGAGGTAGGTAGCCATTGATAGTTTTGCCTAAACCAATCAACCTTATTTTAGTGCCTATTACTAAGATTCTAATTAAAATATTTTTCATGAACTGTACTTTGTAGAAGTTCATTCAGCTCACAAATGATTGAAAGGATAAAATCCTCGAATACTGATTATTTATCAGGGGTTCGAATTCTGGGAATGACGAAGCTGGGCTGCCTGGATTGGCTTTCTGGAATTTTTCACATCTTCGTTCTTCTAACGAATGGTGTCTAATGGGTAACTTATGTTTCTGCATATTTTTAAGCTGATCTGTACTAAGATCAGTGCTAACGAAGATGAGAGCTTTGCTGAATTAAGTGAAGTTCGTCAGCCCCTTCCCAGCATGCTGCATCAATATCACTTTTGTGGAGGAGAGTAATTTATTTCCACAAATACTTCCGAAGAGCCTTGTCTTCAATGAATGCGGGTTTATAAAGCTACATGATTATATCAGAGAAGGACAGACTGCTCGTAAACCTCCTCTTTTTGAGTTACATGTCACATTTTACATGTCACATGAATTACATGATATTTAGGGTATCTTTCGTGAAATTTTCTTGCCGCAGGAATTTAAACTTCTGTATTTAATTTCGTAGTGCTGTAGGGACTACTCCTGGAATAAAGCATTTTTGAGCCAGATTTAAACGAATTCATCAAGTACTTTTTAAGATACTGCGTAGTTTGTGTTTACACCTTAATTTAGGTCACCAGTGTCTTATAATTAAACATTTTGTTGTAGTACAATATAAAATTCCACTCTAATATTAGATAGGATCGACTCATTATCTTTGGATCAAAGCCTAATGGTTCACTGACGCTATTAACAATTTACACAAATAAATTATAAAATATTTTTTACTGTATTTTACAACGTGCTTCACTAATTACCTGAGAAGAAAATAAACAGAGGGGTTAAAGCGATACTACCCTTAGTGCAATTTCAGTAGGCATGGAAATGAAAGTTGAATTTTGGTTCTTGAGTTATATTTGATGCCTACATACTAATCTGAAGCAGTTTACTTTATTTGATGCAATTTAGATTAGCGTTTTGAGTTTAATACCTTTACACAATAGACTTTAAACCTAAGAATTTAAATGGGAATATGTATTACGTAAACTCATATATAGGCGCTATTTTAATAAAATTTCTTGAAAGGGTATATTATTTGATTTAGGTTTTCTGTGATGATAAACTAGCCTATGTAAAATGCCATAACTTCATGCAAATGATTCCTCTAACTCTGAAAAGAGTATCAGATTATCAACGATAAATGGTTGCAATATTTCTGAGCGAAAGATCATGTAGGAAATGTTACAAGGCTAAAGACATGTTAGCTTAACAAGGCTATACATTTTACAGATGAAAAATGCTTAAAGCTTTTGCTGTGTTACGTATACTCTTTCACATATGCATAATACACAGGGCGATGCATACATATGCATAATAAAAGCCCAAAGGAATAACCCAGAACTTTTTGTTTATAACCGGATTCCATTTATATACTCGGTATGTGGTTTGTTTTTTACGGCTTGAGGCGTTGCGTTTTATATACTTTAAAAGTAAATTTGTGTTTGCTTTAGTGTAATTTTATCTATTACATAATAACGTGATGATGTCGTGTCTATGACAAAGTGCAATTATATAGCTCCGAAGCTGTCAAAGACAGCTTTTGCAACCTCGGCAGCTCTATCAGTATAAAGTAGGTCCACTGGGTCTTCAATGCCGATGTTAAACAGTCTGGCCTGGATTACTGGGCAGCTGGAGATGTGATGGCAATACAGTGGATGTCATCTTGGCAATGAGGACAAATGTTGGTGTAACTACGCTGTCCGTCTGCAGAAATCCTCATCCCTTTCGACATGGCTCTGTCACAGTTCAATTCCGGGATGGAGTTTCCTTTAACTTGACCGATTTAGTCTTTGGCTGGCAACTGCATTGGCATCAACGAGGGTTAGGCAGTTGGATGGCTGAGGAGAATCACGGGATGCCTTTGCAAGCTCATCGGCCAACCAGAAGTCCAACCTCTTTGAGGCTCTGGCAGCTTCTTTTTCTATGAATTGTCCAATATCTGCTAGACATAATAACGTGTTACGTACTATTTGTTTTTAAAATTTATATGCAGTGTTATTTACGGTTTTCCTCCGCCAAGATGCATTTAAAATTTGAAACACAGTGAGCTTGCATTTTGACTGCTTCAGTTAGCTGCAATATTCCTGTCGCTTTTCGATGGTGAATTGACGATTTCGGTTAATTGAAGTATTCTTACTAAATCAAGTAAAAGAGTGTATAATAAAAAATTTTAAAAAGAAAGCAAGCGAAACATATTCTAGAAAAAAATTCATTCTATTGTGTGGAAAACAAACTAGCTCAGTCGTCAATATAAATTTACAATCAGCTGCAAAACATAAAATTTAAATTTTAAAAATTAAAATAGGCACTGCTATTTTAAATCCGTTGGTACCAACAGAAACCGAGAAGAGCGTTTGGGCTTTTTGAAAGTAATTCTTGTTTTTTCCCTCAGAGGATAAAACTATTTTGGAAAAAATATTACATTCTACACAAATAGAAGAAGTGTTGATCCATTCATGATTCATCATTTATACAGACAAATAGTTAACTTTTTACGCTTCTGCAAATTGTAGTGAAATCATTGTATAAAGTACACATGTCTTCTGAAAGATACTCTGCTTCGGACATTGAATTAAGCAGTATCGGATTAAATTAAAATTTTCAGTTAAATTTATTAGTCTTTAATCTATAAGGTGTTTCTCCCACTTTCCTAGCGTGTCTTCGTGGTGTAGTTGTTCTACACACTGAGCCGGTATTCCTGAGGTCCGTGGTTCGATTCCCGGCGAAGGCGGCTCCTAAGTTTTCCTCACTCCTGCTTTAAAAAAATACCTAATGTCTCTACAAACCTAAATCGATTATACAGATAATTTTGTAATCATATGACATATATTTACTTCTTCTCAACTAAACAGTTTAAAACAACAGCACGATCTTCATTTATGTCTCATGTAGTACAGTAATGTTTATATATATGCTCCAGTTTAATTTCGTTTCGTAAAGTTAAAGTTTTCTCTGCTGTCTTCATTTTGTTTCAATGAAATCAGCTTGCAACTCAGACATTAGCCGAAAAGCTTACAGAGAATATCATAGGTTATATGCAGTCTTCATCTTACATTTTTATTATTCAGTTATTTTTTAATAATAGATTAGTTAATAAACATTAATGGATATCTTATGGCAATATAAACAATTAAACGTAGATTTTGTAAGTTTGTAAGGATCTTAAGTTTTACTAACGTTTATTTTATTTTAAATCTTTACTATCACTTCTTATTTTCTACTTCCGGCCAGAATTATAAGCGTTAACGTATTTATGCAAAGTTTGTCTGGCGAACGCCAAGTATTTAAGTTGTGGCTTTTTGCCAAGCGAGAGAGAGGAAGCAGTTAGTCGAAGCAGGCCGCTTACCTTAGAAGTTTTACTCAGTTGCTGGTTGCCTTCCAGGCCAGAGGTTTAATCCTCTTGATAATTTTTAAACGTATTGTAGTGTTCACAGTTCTCTGTACTACATACGGCTTCCTGTTAATATAAGGCCAATCTTCCACGTTTATTATTTCAAAGTTAAGAGTTTAGTTTTATTTTTATATTTTTACGTTTAGACCACAAGTAGTGGGTCTTTGTATTACGGAAGTTATTGTAAATAGAGAAAAAATAAAGGGTTTTGTATACCCTTCTTGTGTATCCT